TGTTTGGTGGGGGGGGGGGAATCTGAAAAATTGACAAGGAACAGAGAGCAGATTTGAACATCAATACAGATATACTAAATAAAAACATGAAAAAGGTTTCCCTCCCCTTCTAACACCATAGAAAACAAGAGATAGCAAAATTCCTTAATCTATCCAGTGATGTAAATATTGTTATTCTAGGATCAAATATAAACAGGAATGTGTGTATGAACATACACACATGCTCACACTACTTGCTGCTGATAAAACTAGACTTGTTCAGAAACTATAAATTTACTAAAGGTCAGAAATATTCAATAGCAGCAGCGTAGTTTAGGAGTCATCTCCATCCAATCCGCCCTTGGCTTACCAGAACCCTGTCTGTACAGCTTCACTGTTTATTACTTTTTTTTTTTTTTTAAGGTTTAAGTGTCCATTGGAACTGCCTGACCTGGTGTATTGTCAGCCAAGGAGACAAGGGACAGCTCTGTTTCATCCATTTAAAATAAAATAAAGAAGAAAAAAAAAATCCAAGCATCTTAAAACTCTTAAAACCTGGTACCGTGAATGGGTCATAAATATGCATACATTGGCTCTTAAAGAAACAGTTATTATCAGGAAAATACTCATATTTTCTTCAGCAGCTGTTCTATATACATGCCACTTGCCCCAGCTGAAGAGAAATTGCCTATACTGAACATCATGTTGAGAATGTTGAAGGTTTAGGAAGATCAACTATGGATACTAACTCTGCTAGAGCTACTTTAATCTGCTGCCCGAAAAATGGTCAAATGCATGTGCACACAGGCTCCAGTCCCACATTTCCAATCTTGGAATACTCAAAAGATGCTACAGAAGGTAAAGTTACATCAGAACAGACTGAAATACTCGATGCTAGATCTGAACTATCTATGTTGCAGAACATGTAAGTTAAAATCCAATTAGGTAATCCCTAGATTGACAAAAAGCTTGACTTTTTGTCCTCTGCACAAATGGCTTAGTAGATATAAGTTTAGTCCCACTCTTTTTAGTTCACTAAAAAATTCAAAATATATGCTCCAGCCAATATTGTAGTATGGCTGACACGAGTCTCTTGTAAGGAATGAAATGGGGACCCAATCTGGCCCATCACCAATGCTTGCCCTGCCTGCCAGCACCCCTGCCCTTCAGTAGCGTGGTCCCTTTTGCCGTAAAGCATGGGAAGCCATAAACGTGCATCACCTGGGTAATTGTATCACTAAATTTAATGTCCCTTCTATTGGTTCGAGGAAAGGAACATGTAAGTTGCTGTCTGGCTATGTGAGAAGCTGGAGACTAATGCAGTGAAAAAGCATTACAGTGAAATCTCAACACTACCCAATTATATGGTAGTATTATATTCCCAGTTATACAGTATAAAGAAGTTTCATCATAAATTCTTGAAATATTCACCCTTCTCATTCCTAGCAAGAACTGGGTTGGTACCAGGCTGTTTTAAGGAATGGACTAATAGGAAGACATAGGAAAAACCTCACAAGGGTGGTGCATTATATAAGTGAAGACCTGAAAGAGATACTTCTTCACAACTTCTAGGTCTCAACTTCTCATCCTATGGTTTAGGATGATACAAGAAAAGAGGTTTGAAAAGAAGCTCGATGGCAGCATCTCCCAGTTGTTCAGAGAATAATGCTACAGAGCACACTTCCCTCACGAATCACCCAGCAATAGTTGGAGTACCAGGTAAGAGCTAGCCCTAGAAAATCCAGCTGAGACTGGACTGAGTGCACACACTCCAGTCATTTTACCACTAATAATAAATATTCAGTAGGGTTCTGCAGTCACTGTTAGGGAACAGCAAGAGTGAGATGCTCCACAAAGGAAGGGTATCCAGAGGGAACAAGGAGGCAGGCAGGCAGCAACCTCCCCAGTTAGGGGCCCAGTCCCACAGTCCTTGAGCAAAGCGCACAGGGCAGGCTGGTGATGGTAAGGGCTGTGGCCAGGAGCCCAGACCACCAGGCACATCTTCATGACAAAGCAGGGTCAAAGAAAGTCAGGAAGTGAAATCAGAGGTCAGACATGGCCAGGCACAAATGCAACGTAGCTCAGACAGGGACAACACAGAGGGCTGGAGCTTAAAAGCAGCTGCTGAGCAATGGGAGAAAAGGCCCCCAGTGAGGCTTCTCTCAGCCATCTCACACACCTCTTTTCCACTAGTCTGAGGGGGGTCGCAGCTGCCCCGTATCAGAGCTGTCCTTGAGCACAGGCAGCCAAATCCCTCATGGGACAAGGCTGCACTCAGGGCCCCTACAGCCACCATAAAGGCCAATATTAGAACTGGGCATGTCTCATTACCAAAGGGTGGGTGAACAGAGAATATCCGAAGCTCCAAATGAGCAACTACCAGGATGTTCCAACTAGTATGGACTCAAATACCACAGGGAACCCTCAGAGGTATTGAAGCACCTTTCTCAGAGGTTGAAAAGGAGGGCTTGCCTTCTAATGCTAGGTCCCAATGACAGCGTAAGTACAGCACGTACCCAAAGTACATGCTTTATATTAAAAAATAGGGTAACTTTATTGACATAACAACCACATACATGCATATGGATGTAGACCTATCCATTTCCTGCATTCAACAAATATTGCTATATAGTACCTATAATTATTAATTTTACATATGTAAATTGGACAAACTATGTGCCTTACCTGAAAAACCTACAGCACAATTTATTTCATACGAAGGATCATCCAGAATTTTCACAAGCATGAATTCCAGCACCATATAAACTACTCCAATCAGCACTGAGAATACCGCAATTATGTATGCAAACCATATGCTCTTAATCTTTTTTTCCAGCATTATCCCCTTCCAAAGCATGGAAATCATGTTATAATATAAATGCCAGTCATCTGCATGGTGGAAAGGAGAAAGCAGTAAACGCTGCCAGTTCTTTCTGTATAAGCCTTCATTTACACTGATACACACTTCATGCAGTGGCCTCACAGGATTCAGAAAGAGAAAAATATTCAGTGCAAGTACCCCAAGGGTAACAGAAGGAATGTTCTGGAGTCCAACTTGAGAAATTTGATAAAGCAGCAAAAGCAGTCCAGCATTGACTCTTCCCTGCCTTCGTTGCATTATTACTTCTTCTTCAAAGAAATGTGAAGATTATTCCGATTTCTAGTCTTTTGTTCGAATTCAAAACCATGTAAGTTTTGGAAATTCTGAAAGAAAAGAAGGTAACTGCGTTATTATACATATACACAGGGGTGTTTTCAAGCTTGTCACTGCTTTTTGTTTTTTAACACAGCAAATTCCTCAAGCTAATCAGCTGAGACCTTTTTTTTAAATCAGAACAAAAATTCAAGGGGGGAGGGGGGGAATACCACAATTTTTAAACTGGTATAGGACACAAATAAAAGGGATTTCTACAGATAATCCAGACAAGCATTGTGAGTAAAAGGAGTCTGCAACCTCTCTTTCATGTCCCTGGACAGGCTTTACTTCATTTACAAAATTCCTCGGTGTTCTAGACACGTTCTCATTAATATCCTGATTCACTCACAATTACTAAAATTTCAGGAAGGAAACCAGTTAAAAATTCTTCTCTAGAGTTTCAGTTTTCAGGCTTCCCATCTTTGCTACATACATAATTTTTCTCATGACTGTTTTTCCAACTTTTACAAATATTCAATACAAGCTAAGAATGAAAATTAAAAGTTACAATTTCAACATACACACAGCTAAGTATTCATAAATGTAAGCTTTGAAAATTGTTATTGCTTTCCTAGTGACTGGAATTCAAAGTTTACTTTAAAAGCATGTGATGTAGGAAAAAAAAAAAAAGTAGGAGGAAAGCATATACAAGAACAGCACATAAAATTTCCAGACAGTTATCACAAAATATTAATCTCTGCCCTATTTATACCAGATAAAATGGACAATAAAAAAGGCTACAAAGGTTCTAGATCTAGCTAGAAATAGGGTTACTATGACAGAAACTGAGAAAGGGCATTGAGCTAACCTGTGCAAGCCTATAAAGAGAGGAGGGAGGAAGCTGCATTGGAGCACAGCACAAGGTGACACGGAGTGGAACCACCTGCAGAAGACAGGAAGACACACTGGATTTCAAGTAGTTTCTGAGGGCCACCGCAACTTGGCCAATACCGTTTCTAGTTCTCAAATCTCTCCAAGGTGGCACAATAGCATGGCCACTCTTCTCCAGCTCTAGGATGCCAGTTGTTCGCTGAACTGTTGAAGATACTTAGTATGTTATTTCACACTTAAGTATCAACTATGCAGAGCCAGCAAAATACACTTACTCTTCAAAACTTCACCATCAGGTTTCAAATGAAACCTCTTGAAATATCTAGATATACACAAAATTGTCATCTCAACACCCCATTCACCTGCTTTTCCATTACATTATAAAATAGAGTAAGTTGCTAATAACTAACTTTTATTTAGTTTAAATTCCTTTCCAATTCATCACATCAAATGCTGCCCCTGTAAACATTTTTGTTAGCTAAACAAACAACAATCTAATTCTTGTGGAGGACAGCAGAAAAAAATGATACCTTTATAAGGAGAAAAGGACAACAGCTCAAGATGCAAAGTTTAACATTCCACATTACATCCGTTAGGATTTACTAAATTGCACATTCTATAGACCATTGGTATGCTTGCAAACACTTTACTAAATAATTTTCTTTAGGTACTGAGTATCATTACTAATTTGATCGTGTTGCATCGCACAAAGTAAGTGAACACATGGAAAAGAAGGAAATCACCTCTGAATTATGTCATCCTACAACAGCAAAAGGAACTATGAAACCGGCACAGGGTTGAACATCAAAAAAGATCGTCTAGGGGCCAGCCTACCTCCTCTACTTATGTCTAAGTGAGAGGAGCATATACTTCCATGCTAGTTCACACACCTAATTAATTAATGCCACTTCTTATAGTTAAGTTTAAGTTATTCTAGTCACCGGATTTCTCTTTAAATCACATTTATGCTTATTATAGCACTTTAAGAGAAGGAAAAAAACCCTGGTAGGATCCTCAAAACAACTGTAGTAGAACAGAATGCAAGTAAGCATATTTGCTACATTAAAAGGAAATTCACTGCATTTTTTCCTATGGTCTAATCTCAGAGATGCTACATAATGTCTAAGTCTCGCCCAAAACAGAGTGGAGACAGCAGAAACATGCTTTATACCAGGCCTCTTGAACATATAACTCTAACTACACTGTTGCCTTTAAAAATGAGTTTCTAATCCTGACAATTCAAATAGAGACCACAGCTGTAATCCCTACAAAATTCAAATGAGCTAAGACCTCTTAAAGTTTAAATTCATTGTTGCAGATGACAATTAACATTGTCAGCCTTTGACTTTTTAATGTCAACATTACAAAAAAGGTACTTAGATAATTGAAAGTTTAATCAATGTCATTCTCTTTTTCCACACTTCATGCTCTGATCCCAAGTATACCAACATCCCCAAACTGTTCTTATATGCATCTGCCCAAACCTCTGACTTTTCCCTTACCACTGACACAGCTTAATTTTTTCCCACCGCAAAACAGTTGACATAAAACCTGTTAGAATCTAAAAGTTAACATCATTTAAACCCAAGTTATGTGGACACCCCAAAATCTTGCCATACCACGTTGTTCAAATTGCCAAATACTACAATCTTACTTTTTAAAGTGTCCCCCCCCCTTCTGATACTCTTTAATTCTCAACTGAAATACTTTTAACATACATGCACCTAGGAAAAGAAATCTTCATACAGCACTTATCTGTACAATAATCATGTAACACGACTGGGATTACAGTAGTGCTATGTATTATAATCATTCCCATTATTTGGAGCAATCAAAAATGCCAGCCAAGACACATTATATGTTTGATTATAAAGGAAAAAGATATAAGAAAGAAAACAGTAGTTATTTGAGAGCCTTCTGGAATGCAACTCACTTAAAATATATAGAACTTTTCAACTGTTTGAACATTCTTCCTCAGCCTCTACTCTGTTTATTAAAAGTCTAATGAGATTTGAAACAATGAAGCACTTCTTCCTTTTTCTTTTTTGAAAACATGCCACCCACTTCAAAATGTACAAATTTCCAGAACAGACTTGAAATGGACATTTGTCTTACATCCAGGCTGCCACGTGTCTGCATTTTTGTCACCTACTCAAGATAAATGTCTGAACTAAACATTCTTGGAATTTGTTTGTTTGTACTAACCAAGTGCAAAGCATTTAAACTTTTTACTGTGACAACCCCCCTTGCTCATTTGGCAACTACAAAATATGACTTCATATTACAGAAAAATCATGTAATAAAGTAAATATTTTAGTAAATACCCATTAAAACGAAATGTTATACTGTCTTTTCCTACAGCTGTAACTTGAAGTTAGAGGAAAAGAATCTCCCTGTATCCCTGCTCCCCACAAATGGACAGAACTGCCCTGAAATTTTGATTTATAATGCAAAAGTAAAATCCAGCCCATTGCCCTTCTCCATCAATCAATCAATCAATCACACTGTGACGTAAGCCTAGATTTTTATGAATAGACGGAGACTTGTAACATCTTGTTCCCGCCAAGGGTGAATACAGCCGTGATCTACAGATTTTGCTGTTATCTGCATGGCACATCCTGATCTTCAGATCTGTCATCAACCTTCCTTCTAGAACCACTTTGTTCTTCTCATTGCTTTGCAAAAATGATTTGTAATGGAAGTACCTTAGCATTGTGTAATGCTCCACTGCTAGAAAAAAATCCCAGGGTTACTCTTTCAGTTCAGGTCAGGAGTATGATTTTGAAGTTAATGCCTCCATTGCCCCCGCTGACTTCACTGTGGTTCACATCGTGGAGTGGCCTAAGTGTGCATGAACCAGTCTCTTTTCGGATGAAACTAAACCAGGAGATGTGTTCCAGGAAAGAACCCAGTGCACTCCAGAAAAAATTGGGCACTCAGCCTACATGTCCAGATTAGAGCTAGACCAATGTAAAAAACACTTGAAACATGTAAAGGGTGAATATCAGATCCTGAGCATAAACCAGTTCACACTACAGAGAGCCTCAATAGGTCCACACTACTTGTCTATGAAGATAGGGTCTCAGGCTACAAAGACTTATCCAAGCAAAGAATGAAACAGAAACAGTGTTTCAGGGCAAAAGAAGAATCCTACAAAGGAGGCAGAAGCAAACTGTAAACCCTATTACTACTGCCCTCAAACCTTGGAAACTGGGGGGGGGGAAGAGGATGAAAAAAACAAAAACAATGCAAGAAAAAAATCAAAACTGTGAAACATAATGAATCATCCTGTTTACATTTAACATATATGCAAGGAGAAGGTCAACCACAGCTGTCAGTTACAATAAGCTTTGAAATGTATCGTCAATTACGCAGTTCATAACAAAAGACAAGGTTCTGACATAATTACAAACGTAATTACTTTATAAAGAATGACTTCTGGATTAATCAAATGTGCCTTTAAAGGGCATAATATGCGTCCATTCACAAAGGAATACTGAGCTTTAAACTGAAAAAACATGTTTCAGAATTTGGTATGAGAAGTCATACATCTGTAATACAAATGTTTTAAAATAATTTAAGTCAGTAACTACCTTGCTGAAAGGAAACCATACAAAGTTAAATATCAACATAAAATGACTGCATAAAAGGCTATGTCACAAATTCTTTTATTTTTTTTTAATATGCCACGTTTTATTTTAAATGTTTTCAGTTTTCTGTGAGAATAAGAAAGTTCCTCTGCCTCTTATGTCTGCTTCAGGAAGAAAATTGAAAATGTTTTATAGTTCTTTAATCCTCTCGAGTACTACTAAAAAGAAGCCCTTAACAAAATAAGCTTTTAAGCTAACAACTTCAACTTAAAACTGAAAATTGTGTTCCGAAGGGTGTGACAACTACTACTCACAATAAAATATATACATCTTAATACACGCCAAGAATACTTTTGGACACCTTACCCCAAAATAAACGAGGCAGCTTTCAGAGGAAAGAACAGAAGGGACTAGGTCAAATCTCATACTCTGCCTCACATCTTAAGTATGAACATCTGAGACACTAAGCATTTAGGCTTTTAATTGCCTCATTAGTTTGAC